ACGACCCTGTCCTTCACTGGTAAGTCATTCCACCCTCATTTTGTTGCTATTTTCCTTCATATTGCACACATTAGGGCACAAAAACGTAGTCCTTAGGGCATAGGCCATAGAAAACGTCTCAAACCTGAAGTTAAACCGAGGTTATGATAAAGGAAGATGGTTTAGCATTTGTTGATTTTTTGAGAAAAATTTACAAGTTAAAGTCAAGTTCAAGCAATATTTGCGTACTTGCCGAGACTACTAGGTTGTCAAAACTTGAAATATGGAAAACTGAAGTCTTGATAGAAGACATTGAGAAAGTGACAAGTCCTAAGCAACACTTGTGAAAATATTTGTTACAATATTTTCAAGTGTTAGGACAAGGCCGAGATGAGCAAGATTAGAAGTTGTGACAGAGGTATTTTACCCGAAGAGATTGCACAGTCAATGTGTACTTTGAAGACATGCAAATTATTCTAAGTGTAAAATCATACAAGAGCAGAAAAAAGAAGACATTCATTGAAGGAAGAAATTAGAGAAATGCATTTAAAGAAGAAAGAAGGCACTTCGGCCTGAATATTGAAAAATAAATTATTTAGACTATAAAAATGGCACGTCGGCCGGATTAAAAGCATACAAAGAAGGACAAAGTACAAGGTACAAGGTACAAGGTACAAGGAGTAAAAGAAGGAAACAAGACTACTCGGCATCAATGACAGGATATAGAAGACAGTTGGGAAGACTTCTCAGCAGCCTTCTCGACCTCGAGCTCAGCATCGATCTCCCCAAGAGTTTGATCAAAGCTCTTTTCGCCGATTGGCACCTCGGAGTTTGAAGGCAAGGATTGAAAGCAAGAATCTGGAAAAAGACACAGAAAACAGAAACAAGAATGTAATTCGTAATCAAGAATGGTGATGAAGCTATCAGGAAATCAAGACAAAAAGATTGCACAAGTGTGTAACAGTGGCAGAAATCAACAGATGTGTGAACAGTGTGTATTCAAGAAGATGATTTGGAAACAACGGGTAAAACAGCAATGATGATTAACAATGAAGCAGAGCTTCTTGGAAAGCAACAAGAAATAAAACCAGGAGGAACAGTAGCTTACCAGAAAGAGGGAAGTCGGAATGAGAATTGCCGAAGTTTGACGACGGATTCGAAAATGACAGAATGATGTAAGCTTCACCGGAGGAGAGGAACGAAAACAGTTGCAGAGCTTGAAAGCTTGGAACAATGACGGATTTAGGCAAAAGAGCTAGAAAGAGAAAAAGCTAGAGGATTAAATGAAAAAAGAGAAAAATTAGAGTTAAGAAGACGACAAAGTTCAAGAATAAAGCCAAGTGCACAGGCACTAAGTGAGTATGTGAATAACAAGAAAGTAATGCCCCAGACACGATACTAACAACAGAAAGCGGATATGGCAAGAACAGTGCCAGGCGTTCAAACAATTCAAAACTTGAAAACAGACGCAAATAGAAGACAACAGAGGGCAAGTAAACGGATTCAGAAGAGCTATGAAAGATTGAGCTTAATAAAAGAGTTTATGAACCTACTAAGAGAAATGAACGCCGATATAAAGATCGCCGGAGTCAAATAGATGACTAGAAGTCGGAAACCCACCAAAGAATGTGAGTGGAGCAGTTGCAAAGCTCTTGGAGTTTATGAATTAATAAAACAAGAACCTCGGCTAGGAGGTGTGATCTCGAGCAGCTTGGAAAGCATGAAACTTGATACTTGACAGAAGTGGACAGTAAAGTCCAGGGAACTTTGAGGTCGGCGAGTTTGATCTCGGACAGAGGGGCACAGATGAACGAACAGTGTAGGTTCCATCACCTCAAAATGCCGAGGTAATAGAACCTAGGGGGCAATTGTGGGAATATATTTTCTAAGTACCAACACGTGGCCAAGGTGACGCCGACGTGTCAGCCGATGTGTCACGTGTCCTGGTTGTTATGCCGAGGTCATCTCGGATAGGCCGAGGTTACCTCCGAAGATATCGGCATCCGAGATAAGCGGATGAGGGGCAAGAGTCCTAGAATGAGAGAAGACTTCAGTTTGTATTAAGATAAGACTCTTAGAGAGTTTATCCTAATCTTACTGGGAGTCCAAGATTAGCAGTAATCATGAGTCCATAGAAGTTAGGCTTCTATTGGGACTAGGTTTATGTTGGCTATAAAAGAGAGGCACCCCCATGGGTCTAAGGTATGCTTTTGATACTCAAGCTTGTGAGTTTAGCACTTGATTTATCTTTGAGAGATATACTGACTTGATCGTCGGAGTGCTCCCGGGTGGACGAACCACCGCCGGAATCTTCTCTTTCTGTTGCAGGTCAGCCAGGTGCTATCTATTCTGCCGGTGCTCTCCAGTTGGTTACTAAGCGGGCAGTGTGGTCAGAAAATCACTCACACAGCGCCAATTGTGAGACCATGAAAATCATATCACATAGATTGTAGAGTTCCAACGAAGAGATGAACTTTGTCTCTGTAGATCTGCAAAGATGAACATGATCGACGCCACCCAACTGGGGTTGTCGGTCGGAGACACTCCAATGGCGAAGTTAGTCACTTGAGTAAAAGAATGAAGGTATAGAAATGAAGAGTGTTGGTATGTAGCGTAGAGAGAGATGACATACCTCCTCTTTTGGGATGCCCCCTTTTATATAAATGTGTGGTATGATATTTGTTTGGATTAAACCCATTGTAGGCCTTGTTTGGGTTAATCCTAATAATCTGATATATATATATATATATATATTTGGCTCTCACATTATGTTTTCTTCATCTTAGTTGCCCAAAATGTTTGTATTTATTAGAAAATTTTCATAATGATTTTTCAAAAAAAATTCATGATCATTATATATTGATTAACACTACAACAAAGTCATGTTTACACTATATTTTACATCATGTTTGGATCATGAATATCTTGAATTTGTTAAGAAAAAGAAAAATACAATTTTTTGCAAATATTAATTTCTTTATTGGTAACTAAACACAAAAGAAAAAATTTTTAAATCTCATTTTCTATCGATGAATGAATTTAATCCCAAGTGAAGTTTTATGATGAAGCCTTAATAGGTCTTCATGCATTCTTACATGCAATGATCCTGGTGGGTTCTCTTTCTAAGCTACTAATTCCAGACAAAACACATACATCAAATGGAGACAATACAGAACAAATACTATCATGGAAGCACAACGTTTATAGCCCCTAAGTTAGATTTTGTATTTCATACTCTTAAGATTTTTTTTTTCATGACAAGATTTCCAGCTTGCGCACACCTTAACTAATCCTGAGAGCCACGCAAAATATCCCCTCCTCGTGGATCGGACAAATCTAGGGAATGGCTACAAAGAGCGAATTGCTTCTAATAATAGTTGAGCCTGAGATCTAAAAAGAACACACCTCTAGACCACAAGTTGCACCCACTATACTCTCAAGTTTGAAGAAAACTAAGTTGTTGACTTTTTGACTTTTTTAGTAACTTTTTTGACTTTTTGACTAAAAAAACCACTTGCCAAATGAGGCCTAAGAAAGACCAAAATCAGAAACAATGAGCAGAACAACCCTACAATAAAATCTCCCATACACCTTTCAAATCCACGACCATTCAATCCAAATGCAATGGTGTAGCATACAATACTTAATCAAGTTTCTGTTAAGACTATGATCCAGAGTAACATAGAGCAATTTGTTCCTTCTATTTTTTTAAATCAGTGCTGTCCATTTCCAGCTAATTCTTCTCCTCTTTAATCAAATTTGTAAATATTTCATGACAGAACTCTCCTATGCAAAATTTACAGAACCCACCCACAAACTTTTAGTTTCTCTTCCGTTTATGTAACTTCCATTGTTTCAATAGGAATGATACTGCCTCTTTTAATGTTGCCTTCCTTTTCTCCTTGGAATTCCATAGCTCTGGCAGGGGGTACCGACCACTGGGGTTGTACTGATTCATCTCGCTCAGTGCTGTTGTCACAGACTCATAGACTTCATCACCAAACTCATCCTTCAGACTTTTCAGTTTTTCATCCTCCTCATCAATTATTTCCTGAGCAGCCATATTGAATATAAATCATACAATTAGGTCAATGGAAAGCTGAAAGGAAAAAGAGTTTCGAGGAAGATAGATGACCAAACAAGCAAACTGATTAAGTAGTACAAGTGTAATATGCCTAACTTGGACTTTAAATAGACCAAACTAGTCATGTCGGGGGTGATATCAAAAAATGCATGGACTTTAAATAGATTAATGAAGTCCCATTAGTAGTGTGGGATTCATTCTCCACTAAATCTGTGTCCCCTTATCCAATGCCCTTTCCCCACTACACGATGTGGCATCTCTAGAATTAAAATTCAATTAATTTGCCACATTATGCGACGATGGGGAAAAAACACTGGACACGGGGTAGAAATTTTGGGAAGTAGATGCAAACAAGTCACAGGGCAATCCTGTGGCTAGGCTAATTCATAATTCATAAATGCCTCTTTGCATTGTCACAAGGTAGAAGTTTTTTTTTTTTTGTTTTGGGGGGGGGGGGGGGGGGGGATGGGGTTTGTAAAATTTATGCAAAAATACCGATCTTTTAATTTCATATTCTTATTTTTTTTTATAAGAAATTAAGGACGTTTACAAGGCCAACCATTTGGTCTTTCTGAATTCAGTTTCTTGACTGTCTACATGTCATGGACAAAGCTCTGTCAAGTCTAATAAACACTACATGCAAATGTCAACCAACAATGTCAGACTGGTGAAAGGTATAGGCATTGTAAAACAGGGAAACACCATCAGTACAAAAAAAGAGAATTAAAGGGTAATGGAATGTCAACATAATACATACCTTATGATCTCCTCCCACTGGGATGATCTTAAAAGGATGCCAGCTTGGATCCCTAAGGTAATCCTCCCACAAGGAGCACAACTCTATTGCTTTCTCCGCTACTTCTTCATGCATATACTTTTTCTTGGCTGCTGTGTGGAATGGCTTATCGTCAAGCTCTCCCATTCTCTTGACATTAATGAAAGCACGGCTGTCCTTCAAACCCTACAAGGCAAGAAAAGTAGATTATCCACTAAATATTAAAGGAATTCATTTTACAAAAGACTTTCACAGATTCTTCATTTTACAAGAGAGAGAGAGAGAGAGAGAGAAAGAGAGAGAAGAAAGTGTATTGACACGAACATATTTGCGACTCTTCACCATTGATTTTCTCAATGGGAAGTTGTCATAGAAAAAACACAACAGAAGTCAAACTAATCTTCAGTCTACAATGCCATGAAAAAATTATGCATTATAGAATTGAGATTAATGTTTTTACAGAAATATATGGCGTTCCTTTTGGAAAACACATTGTAGACATACATGGGTTATGGCCTCTTTCTGGCACCTTTTCATATATGTGTACTTATTTAGGAGAAAATAAGGTAGCGTTTGGTAGAGCTTTAGAATTATGATTTGAGAATAGAATTGTATTTTGAGTTTGTGAGTTTTGGAATTATGATTTAAGTTTTGGAATTAAGATTTGAGTGTGAAAAATTTGTTACAGAAATATATGGCGTTCCTTTTGAAAAGAGTTTGAAATGAATGACATGACCTATGATATTTGATTCAAAAATTTACAACTCATAACCAAACACACAATCCAAAATTCTATTCAAAACTCCTAAAAAAAATTTAAAAAATTCTGATTTTTTTTTATTTAAAATATAAAAATAACAGGTGCAAAAAAAATAAAATAAAAAAATAAATATAGAGCTGAACATTGTTCCGGTCAACAGGCCGGACATCTAGGTGGATGACCGGATAGATGAGTTTTCAAACGCGGATGTGGAAATGATTTTTGAAACACGGAACCAAACGTCGCATTCAGATCAGTGAGTGAAATTATGATTTGAGAGCTCCACCAAACACAACCTAAGTTTTTTTTTTTTACAATATTTATAATGCATGTAACCTAGCAGATGATTTCACACAAATCGGAATGACCCCTTTCTTTATTTATCATTAACAACCTTTTCCCATCATAATCCCAACAAGGACATAACGAATGTCAACAATGAGGCATACCTTACAAAATAATAAGCCCTGTAGAAGGTGGGTGTATTCAATATAAACAAGTGAAGAAACCAGCAACCAAAAAGCTTCTAAAGTTTTAGTGCTTTACATTACAGCTAGAACCTGCATTCCCCTGCCTTATGCTTCAAACATGCACATCGTAAACAGCCAAATTTACTGCAATGAATTGTTTCACAATTTTGGATTGGGTTGACAAGAAGCCAGACACAATACAGTCAAGGTAAGTTTGTTTTTGCTGTAGAAGTGTGAAATGTGATTCTGAATTATAAATTAAAACCTGCATCTTGTTAACATATTAGGACCTGCTTCTGTCAGTGGTTCATACATAAGAAATAAGGTTCTTGCAGCAGTAAGTAAGAAAATCAGAGCCTTAGGCCTTGTTTGGTTTGACTCTTAAGAGACAATTTTTGAGAAAAAATTTCAAAAATTTGTTTGGTCAAAAATTTTTGACAAAAAAAAAAGAAAGTCCAAAATCACTTTTCTCTCGCATCCTAAACATCAATCAATCACTTTTTCTCTCACACCCATCTATTCAACTACCAAAAAAAAAAAAAAAATCAAATCATCCCAACCTCTAAAACTCCAAAACTATTTTCGAAACATACAACCAAACAAATTTTATAAATACTTTCCAGAAAATTATTTCACAAATACAAACCAAACATGGCCTTAATTTCCAAATAACAGTGTTTCTATCAAGATATGTATGCATTCTAGCAAGTCTGTTAAGAGTTAAGGTGCTATGCAGGGCATAGAGAGGGATAATAAAAACAATGCACAATTAGTACACATTAATATGTGTTTGGGAGGGACAATATAGATAGTAAATTCAAGACAAGATGTCCAGGTAGGGCTCCATTCAACATAGTGCAGAAGAAATTTCAGTGAATGGCAAACTAGGTTTTCTATGTTAAGATAAATAAATAAATAAAACCTAGTTTAAGATCAACACTACGGCATAAACACATTTTGGCGGCTTGTTTCTATCCACGTGTGATGATACAATAGAATAGAACAAATACATGTCTTACAACTAGCAAGCTACACCTAAGCTCATTTCTTTAAACTCTACATTTTTTCAATAAGAGTAGTATTAATAGTTTTTCAGATTGACAATAGGTTTATCAAAAATACAATGTTTAAAAGAACATGAGAGAGAGAGAGAGAGAGAGAGAGAGAGAGGGGCTTACATTAATTAGCTCTTTGCGAGCTTCCTGCAACTCATCATTGCTTTTAAGCTCCTTGACTATGAGTGCCTGATTGAGTGCTTCAATATCTTCGAGTTCTTCTTCCTTCTCTTGAAGATCTTTCTTAATTGATTCCATCTTCCTCTTATCTTCGTTATTACCATCCTCACTAATATGTTTCATTACTTGTATAGCTCCCCTCATACGCTCAATCTCCAACTCCAGTGCTTGCTTGGCGTCAAGTTTCTTTTCCAGTTCAATAATTCGTTTGTGAAGTTTCTCCTTTTCTCTCTGCCATTTACATCAGTCATGTGTATGATTCTAACTAAAACAAAATATTGTCCTGGTAATGGAGTATAACACCAAAAAAAATCAGCAACATACCTTTTGATCCTCTGCCAACTTCAACATACTTTCATCAGCCTTCTTTTGCTCCAAAATTGCCCTCTTATTCTGCAGGAATAAAACTGCTGGTATCACTTCTGCACAAAAATTTCTAATATTTTTTCTCCAGAGAATCTACCAATTGCCACTAAAAACCAATCCAAAACATTAGACATAAACAATTTTAACTACACTATACTTGGGCAGATAAAGGAATGAAACAGAAGCTACCGAGTTTTGAATCCAATGGAGAGTCAAACAATATAATAGCTTCAACCCAACACTAAATCAGAAAGGATGTAATTGGTAGAGAAGTCCAAATGTTCTTTTTTTTTTTTTCTTATTCTAGTATGTATGATGCATGAAAATGCGCAAAAACTGTACTATCAAATTACTGCTCCAAGTGTGGATTTAGAAAATTTAGTCCAAAAAAAACCTACCATACTTGCTGTCATCATAAAGGCATGTGGATGCTACACGGGTAAGAAAGCATCGATGTTGGTAAGTAAGAATGGAAAATTACAAGAAGGATCAGCACCCCCATCTTATAATGGAGGTCAAGCCCTAGTACAACCAGATCATCTAAGCTTTGTGCATTAGCGAAAGCAAGTTTTCTACTCCCCGCAAGTGCCTATAATTTCTCTCATGGATCAATGTTGACCTTGAAACTCTGCCAGTGTTGTTTTTCAACATCACTGGTCCCACGCCTGGACATAGGAGGAGGTTTGTTCATCCCTCCCAAACAACATAACCAGCAGCAACAACTAAAGAAACACTCATGTAAAAGCATTAAGACTTAATTCAGTGGAACTTATTAATAGTGTGTTTGGTAACGTTTATGTTTTCAGTTTATATTTACAAAAATTTTATAAACTGGTTTTTGATTATTTTTAGAAAGACATAAACTACAAACGCGTTTGGTAATTGACAAAATGTTTAAAAAAATTTAAAAATATAAAAAAGAGTGAGAAATGGTAGGTGGTGGCAAGTGGCGGCGGAAGACGGTGGTGAAAAGTGGTGACAGTGGGTGGTGAGTAGCTGGTGGTGTTGGGTGGTGGCGGGTGGGTGGGTGACGGTGGTGGGTGGTAGCGAGTGGGTGGTGGCAGGTGCGTGGCGGATGGCGGGTGGTGGTGGAAAGAAAGCCAAACATCCAGAGGCTTATCAATGCCATCCCTAATCCATTGATCATTTTTCGAATTTGTCCACAACTTCCTTGAGTAATAGCAATCTCTAAGGAGGTGGCTCATGCTTTCCGCATTAGAATGGCATCTAGGACAAAGATCATTGCTGTCAAAACCTCTGTTGACTCTGAGTTGGTTTGTGAGGAGTCTACTATGCATAACAAACCATAAGAAGCCTTTGAGTTTTTGAGGAATTTTTAATTTCCAAATCCAATTCCAACAAAAATTATGATCTTCAACATTAATGATGAGGTCATAAGCAGATTTGGAAGAGAATCTACCTTGGGAAGAACTTATCCAGTGGGGTTTATCAGGAAAAGTCACAAATTGGGGAAATTTGACTTTATGGATGTTAGCAATATTAGTAGGTGAAAGGTGACTAGTAATCGGGTTCAAATTTCAATCCCCTTCCTCATTAATGATAGTGTTGACAGTGCTATGAGTGTTAGTGTGAGGGCCAGGAGAAGTATTAGCTAAAGGTTGGGTTCCGTACTACCAGTCATTCCAAAGAGAATAGTCCATTTGGTACCTAGTCTAAGAGTATCTCTAGTTTTGACAATGCTTTTCCACAAGGGAGAGCCTCTCTTACCCAAAGGCCAGTCAAAAAGGGAGTGTTTATGGAGGTACTTCTATTTCAAGATATCAGTCCACAAGCTATGATCATCATTAAGGATCTTCCAACCTAGTTTGGCAATGAGGGCATGATTATGGTGGCTAGCCTTTCTAATGCCAAGCCCCCCTTTATTTTTAGGTAAGCAAACTTGGTCCCAATTAATGAGGTGAAATTTTTTCTTGAAAGTAAAGTCGCCCCAAAGAAAGTTTCTGTTTAATTTGTTAATGCTATTGCAAAGGTTTTTGGGGAGCTCAATGGTTTGCATAGCATAGGAGGACATGACTGAGGTGACAGATTGGATGAGGGTTGCTCTACCAGGCAAGGAGAGTGTATTGGTTTTCCAACAAGAGAGCTTTTTGTGCATTTTTTCAATGATGAATTGGAATTGAGCTCTATTGACACAGTTGTGAAGAAGAGGAGTGCCAAGGTATTTACCAAGATCTTGAGTGAGAGGAATACCACAATGCTGGCTAAGATTTCAAGCCTTATTCCTAGAGACATTATAAGAGATGAAAAGCTTGGACTTGTGAAAATTTATTTTTTGGCCAGAAATATCACAAAAATCATTCAAAACTTCCATCACCACATCACAATTAACCATATTCGCTTGAGCAAAAAGAATGAGGTCATCAGCAAAGAAAAGGTGAGTTAGAAGAGGGCAACTATTGGAGGCTTTAATCCTTCTCCAATCACCAGAATCAACCTTAAGATTGATCATGTTAGAGAACCTTTACATGCAAAGGACAAAAATATAGGGAGAAAGGGGATCACCCTGTCTAATGCCTCTACCAGTGTGAAAAGCTAGCAAGGCTTCACCATTCCATAAAATAGCAGTGTTCACAGAAGAGATACAACTCATAATAAGATCAAGCAAGTCTTTATTAAAATTAAATTCAACAAGGGTATTCAAAATAAAGTCCCAAGAGATCCTATCAAAGTGTGCAGAATTTCTTGGGTAATGATGATGTTATCAGTGGTTGATCTACCAGAAATAAAGCTACTTTGATTGAGGCTGATAATCTGGTCAAGGAGAGGTCTAATTATGTTAACAATAATTTTAGTGATTATTTTGTAGCTAACATTGCAAAGGCTGACAGGCCTAAATTGCTTAATATTCTCAGGGTTATCAATTTTGGGAATCAAAGTGATCAAGGTTTCATTAGCCTTAATAGGAATTTCCTTATTGGCAAAACAATTTTTGACAAACATGCAAACAGATGGACCAACAATGTCCCAAAATTTATGATAAAAGATGCCTTGAACACCATCAGGTCCAGGGGCTTTAAAGGCCCCAATGTTCTTAACGGTGTCCCAGATCTCTTTATCACTAATAGGTTGCTTAAGATGATGGTTCTCTTCTTCGCTGATTTTAACTTTGGCAATGTTATTGTAATGCTCAAGAGTTAGGACATCTTCATGACTAAAGAGATTGCGAAAATAATTAATAACAAGGGATTTCAAGTCATTGGGGTTGTTAATCCAAATACCATTATCATCACAAAGCATGCAGATTCTAAGTTTTCTTATTCTAGTGATGGTAGCCATGTGAAAATACTTGGGTGCCCTTTGGTAACACTTACGTTTTTAGTTTTCTGTTTATATTTACAAAAATTTAAAAAATTCAAATAAAAACTTGTTTGGTGAAATTTTTGATTTATAAATCAGTGGTCTCAGTTTACATATTTTCTGTTTTCTGTTTATATTTACAAAAAATTTAAAAAACTCAAATAAAAACTTGTTTGATAAAATTTTTGATTTATAAATCGGTTGTCTCAGTTTATAAATTTAGCCAAAAAATAAAAACACAAAAAATGTGTTTCCATTTTGAGTTTTAAGCTTTTTTTTTTTATCACCCAACATTAGCCACTACCCGCCACCATTTTCTACCACCGTCTTCCGTTACCACCACCCACCACCCACTCTCCACCACCACCTACCACCACTACTCACCACCCACCTGCCACCACCAGGAAGTGTGCTGATATTTCGTTTTTCAACATATCTGTTTACCTCGTGTGGATTGTTTACCCAACTACCTGCCAGCCACCACCCACCAACCGCCACCGACCACCCACGCTCACCACTCGCCACACAATCCACCCCTCGCAACCACCACCACCACCACTCTCCACCGACCCACTAGCCCGCCACTACCACCAGCCACTACTTGCCACACAACTCACCCACCCCCTGTCACGCATCACCCCACTCGCTAACCACCTATCACTGCCACCGGTCACCCACCCCATCCACCACCACCCACCCGCCCACCGCACCACCACCACCACTCGCCACCACCCACCGCCACCTGCCGCCACCACCACGCAACCCATAACCGCCAACCACACCTGCACCCACACTCAGCCACCCACCCGTCGCTAACCGCCACAACACCGCCACCGTCACTCACGCCACAGCCACCACACCACCCGTTACTTACCCGCACAACCGCCAACCGCCATCCGCCACCCACCACCAGCTACCCACCACCTACCGTCATCACTTTCCACCACCGTCTTCCGCCGCCACTTGCCACCACTTGCTATTTCTCACTCTTTTTTAATTTTTAAAATTTTTTAAACATTTTGTCAATTATCAAACGCGTTTGTAGTTTATGTTTTTCTAAAAATAAATAAAAAATAAACAAAAACCAGTTTATAAAGTTTTTGTAAATATAAACTGAAAACGTAAACGTTACCAAACACACCCGTGTTACCAAACGGCACCTAAGTATTTCATTTGTTCACCAGTAAGTCCAAAAGGAGACAGTCATCAATATATTACAGTGTAAATCCAGATGAAGTTGAGTACAACATATAAGCAAAAAAGGTTGGGACAAAGCTTTGTTGAGTTCAGTATACAAGGGTAATACCATTTTCTTCTCATGGTCAAGCTTCCTTTTCTCACTCTCATTTAGAGCTTCACGTTCTTCCAGTTCTTTCTCGACCATTTCAAGTTGTTGCCTTTGAGCTTCCAAACGTGATTTACTCCTTTCATGGTCAGTGAAAATCTTTTCTAGTTGATCAGATGCATTCTTCTGCATTTCCTTCAGCTCTAATTAACAAGAAGTAAAATAAATAAATAAACTATGGAGAGCGTAGCATTATATAAACAAAATATGCACAATATATTCAGTTCTGAAATAGAGTAAATTTTCTGACACCCAATACAAAATTATACAATGGAATCATAATGCTTATGACCTAAGGCAAAATTAAGCTTTTCCTAGAATACCTTCATTATAAGTTTGAATCATCTCTTCCTTCTGCCTCATCACATTCCCCATGAAAATTTCAGTCCTGCTTATTTCACTCTTTATCTCTTCGCATTTCATATTCTTAACCTCAAGCTCATTAGTTAAGTTGGATACAAGTTTTGTGCCTTTTCTCTTATCTTCCATTTCAATATCTGAAATTGTCTTTAAGTCACCATTCTTACGAAGATATTCACCAATAAGACCATTCATGTTGTACTCATCTTCTCGCGCAATCCAAGCATAAAGTTTATCCCCTTTATGCCTGACTGAATGCCAATTTGTCTTCCCATGATTTTCCATTTCAAATGCTTTTTCAAATGTCATTGCATTCTCAAAGCCATCCCAATCTTTATTAAATTCTACTATTGCAAAGCCTGAGTGACCCCGGTAGTTCCACAAAGGATGAACCTTCACGAGGTTATAACCCTTGCTAACCCACTCCTCTTTTAGCTTTTTACCACTGTCTCCCACATACCTACCATCTTTATATTCCACAACAATGTTGGCCACAACAGCCATCCAGGGCCAAACAATCAGCTCTTCCCCAGCTTTCCGTTTGGAAAGCTCAATAGTTTTTGTGGTGTATCGGGAGGATTGACCAGGTTCAGAAAGTTCTACAACGGTCTCCACCAGTTCAGTGGTTCTACTGGCATATTTTGATGATGTAGTCTTCCCATCTACAGGCCTCTCCAGTTCACTTCTTGTTCTTGTGGGAGATTGCGATGATTTCCTCTTCTCATCAATGTACTTATCCCCAGAGCCAGTAGTTTTTCCGGTGGGCCGTGATGATAAGCCCTTTGTATCTATACACCTCTCCAAATACTTCAACAAACCCAAATGTCTTGCTCTGTCCTTGAACCTTGCACCCTTTGAGTCACTCCCAATCCGAGAAGCATGTCGGAAAATCTCTTCATAATCATATTCTTTCCTCCTCCTGTCATGACAATAAGGGCATTGGAAAATTTTACGTGAAATTCTGACCCTTACCCTTCCATCTCTCAATTCCTTGTAGTACATGTATTTGTAATCTTCCAATTCAGTATCAGTAGAGTCATACTTCTCCTCTCTTCTCCGAGACATTTATAACCTGAAATGAAACATAACCATCAAAACCATTTTACCTAAAACCCAATTGCGTGTCAAGAAATCCCGATAAATAGAACATAAACCCTAAACCCGATATTCAAAACCCTGTTTTCCAGTCAAACGTATTATGCTCAATGAGGTGAAAGTCTGTATTTTCTCCGATATAATTCTAACAAATATAATAAATTCTGTCTATCCACACATACTTTCGTTGCCATTACATACACAGAAAAAACAAAGATATACATTCATAGGAATCCAATGATCAAAATTCTTACCTTGTAGTAATACATTTTCCCAGCAACCAAACAGAGCATATAATAAAAGCAATGCATTAGCAAGAATGAACTGTCTTACCTCGAATGCTAGAGAGAGTTCGATCGATCTTCCTGAGGTTTCACCGACTCTAATCGCACTAGGGATTTAGAGAGTGAGGTTTTTGGTTGTGCGAAACAGAGAATGAACAGACTCTGTGGGGGTGAGGATGGCCGAAAAGAAAGCCCCTTTGTTTAGTTTTAAAATAATGATTTGAGCCTTTTTTTTTTTTTTTTTTTTTTTTTTTTTTTTTTTTTTTGAATTTTGAGTTTTTAAAGATAAAAATTATTTGATTATGGATATTAAAAATAATTTTTAAATTATTTATAGTTTTTATTTTTTGATTGATTGATTGATGTATAAAATGTGAGAGGAGAGATAAGAGGAGAAAAAAAATTTAATTGATTGATTAATAATAATAAAAATAATTTTAAATTATATTTTAAAAATATATTTAATTAAAATATTTTATTTAAATAATAATTTAAAAATAAAATCAGGGTTCGAAAAATGGAGATTTATTAGAAAATCTTTTTTCAAGTATTTATATCCCAATTAGTCTATAAGATATTCTTGTATTCCAATAAGTCATATTATTTGAATATTTGATCTATCATATCCTAATTCTTATATTTAAAGTATTTTATGAATATTTTTACTCTTACAAATATTTTTTGAATGGTTAGTAATTTAGTGATATGAATATTCATATTTTCTAATGTGAATGTTAACATTGATGGTATGAACATTCACACTATAAATATAAATATTATTAGAGATATTTTGATAATTATGCCACTCATAAGACTTATTAGAATATAAGAAAAAATAATATGGACGAGATAAAACATAAATAAATCAAAAGAGATTTATGAAAAAGTGTCCATTGAAAAAATAAATCAAACTTTAACTTTTCTTTATTTTTTTACAAGGACGAATTCCTTATTTTGGCTAATTACATGGCGAATAATTTACACCATGTACTCGCACGTAGTATAATAGATATATCCATCTGCGAATATACACTGCCTTAAAAGGTGCACGATCATGGTAACTACGCTTATATCCACTGGCCGCTGGTGTCCTTAACCGGCAGTACGCAAGAGGAGTCCGATACGGGCTGCTCATTACTCCTTCCATTTTTTATAAAACACTCCAAATCTTTTATTCTACAAATTCTGCAGATTCTCTTACCTCTGCTAACCCTTCTGTTCAAACACCTTAACTTTGATATTTTTTCACTCTGTTCATCACCACAAACAAACTTCGCCGGAACTGACCGCTGCCTCTCTTCCCAAAGTCCTATTTGCCACGTCAAAAAACAATCTACACACATTTGAGTGAACAGTTTGTAATTCTCAGGATACTCTTCTAAGGAGTACAATATTGTATATCAAAACAATCAACAAAAAAAAAAAAACTAAAAATGAGGGATGAAACAAGGTACCAGAAACAACTTCACCACAATAGCTATCCCACTACAAAAACATATTTCTTTATACTATCAAATGTGTTTTGGTACCAAATAAATAACAAAACTGCCCCATGATTAAGTACGAAGATTCTCCATTCAAAATAATTCAAACACATTTATTTTTTCGCCTTTGCTTTATGTCTATCATTCTGCAAGAATATTTATTTTGCAACCACGCAAAGCACCAGAAAAGTGACACTTGTATAGCACTATCTGGCAAAGGAATTAAAAGTACACACACCACGCACACATGGGCTCGGGTGCGACTTCTTTTTAATCCCATCCATATAAGTGTCTATAAGTACAGCAATGGACGGCCCAGAACAGCGGGATGGGGGACGCTGGTAATATTAATACAGCACTTCCCTAGTCACACCACTCGCACCATTTACACCGAGTTTTTTAACTAATAAGGAGGCCTTGTACGACTGGTGTGAGTCCACTATTTACCACTACAAAATGCCTCGCCAAGAATGTTTTCCTCATCTACTCACAATGCCCATGCCCAAAAGAACAACTCTTGGAACTCCTCCGATCCCTTCTCCAACTAGCCTGTCAGTCATACTATATACTTGTTGCAAGGGAGCTCCACGAAGATGGAAACCCTCACCTTTATGCCATGGTTCAATGCACAAAGAAGATCCAAACTACTAACCCGAGATTTTTCGATCTCACCAGAACCAACGGCAGAATCTATCATTCAAATATAGAAAAACTCCACTCTCCAATAGCAAGTCGACAGTATATACAGAAAGGGGGCAACATTGTAGAATGGGGAGAATTTTCATCGAAGGGGAAAAGTCCTCCTAAGAACAGAGATGAACTCTGGAGGGGAATACTTGCAGAAGTAGAAACGAAGGAACAATTCTTTAGACTCTGCAAAGAAAGATGTCCCACCGATTACGTCTCAAAATACCCCCAATTAAAAACATTTTCGAGGAATCATTACAAAAGAAAGAGGCCCCCATATACTAGCTCCTTTAATTCATTTCCTTTATTAAATGAAGAAGTAAAAAAATGGACAGAAAATAATATTTTGTTTGTAAGTCGAAATTTTGTACAATACGAGTTATGTCAAAATTGTTATCTCTCCATTTGGAGGGAAGACGACTGGATTAGATTAGGACTACACAAAAATAATATCAACAATTTATAAACTGACAAAGAACTCTCCTCCTCATCTGATAATAAGAACTAGAACAGCGGCCCATCTGCCTAATCTCCATCTACCTCGAAGGACCCTTAAGAACAGGAAAAATTGTCTGGGCCAGAAGTCTCGGATGACACAATTCCTTCTCCAGCAGAATAAGCTTCAAGGATTATGATCAAGACGCCGTCTACAACGTCATAGACGACATCAAATACCCGACAGCCCCAACCGAATTAATGAAAAATTTAGTAGGTTGCTAGAGAGACTTCCATGTATTTGTTAAATTCCAACAAGATTTTACTATTAGAGGAGGAATTCCTTATATTATATTAACTAATGGGGACAGTAGTTGGTTAGATGCAATGTCCCCAAAAATGAGAGAATGGTTTGATGTTAATGTAATCACTATCATGATTAATGAAAATTTTTATCAGTTTTATTTATGAAATCACTCAAACTTTTATTTACTTACTACATTTCCCTTATTATCAAATATTACATCTTGAGTCACATCACTATTTTTTACGTTCATTATTATATTTCATAAAACATCAAAAAATTCTGCTGGATCCATAACAACTGATCTTCTCCGATTAACTTCTTCTTTTCTAACACCAACCTCTGAAATCGATGGACTAGGATCAATATCACTAGTTCCATCACCACCTCTGCGTACATCAATCTCAAACGACCTCTCCGTTTATGAATAACTGAACCACTTTTCCCAAAACCTAATAACAATAAATCTCTTCGCCTCTCCGGTAAACCCACGGACATAGTCCATGTCAGAATCGAAATAGCCTTGGTTGGAGCACAATGCCAAACATCAACATTATCAGTAGTATATTTTTTAGATAACACAACAATAGATGGGGCCCTCATCTGTGCATCTTGTGGCATGTCACTCGTAGAATACTTGAAATACCCCTTCATTTTATAATACGTAATCCCCTTTTTAATATTAGAATTTTCAAGGTGATACTTCACCATCCATGGCACCTGTTTGTCGTTAATTGAACAATAACCATTCCCATAATACACTAATTCGCACTGGTAATCCACGGGAAAAACAAAATATGCCTGCAAACTATCATTATCATCTAACCTCTTGTCATACACATTTACTCTGACTAACCCACTGGCATCGGGTGTGCAAAAGGGAGAATATTTTTATCAATATTTTATCAACCTTAATACTCTTTTGTTTGTATCTCAACCTCAACTGAGAAAATAAATTAGGCAAAGCAAGTTCCATACAATTGAAATCACTTGTTGAAACACCTTCAATAACACCAGTTCTTATATCGTCCACCTTCATTCACCTGAACATTATAAATAAAAATACATAAAATTCATTTTCTAAACAGTTTTAAAGTACATTTGACTCATTAAATTTTTCATTTTTTCCCACTAACAGTACGTATTGTAAAATGAAGGGGTATTTGAAGTATTCTATGAGTAACATGCCAGAAGATGCGCAGATGAGGGCTCCATCTATTGTTATGTTATCTAAAAAATATACTAATGATAATATTAATGTTTGGCATTGTGCTCCAACCAAGGCTATTCCGATTCTGACACAGACTATGTCTGTGGGTTTACCGGAGAGGTGAAGAGATTTGTTGTTAGGAGGTTTTGGGAAAAGTGGTTCAGTTATTCATGAACGGAGAGGTCGTCTGAGTTTGTCTGAGATTGATGTATGCAGAGGTGGTGATGAAACTAATGATATTGATCCTGGTCCATCGATTTCGGAGGTTAGTGTTTGAAAAGAAGAAGTTGATCGGAGAGGATCAGTTGTTATGGATCCAGCAGAATTTTCTGATGTTTTACAAAATGTAATAATGAGCGTAAAAAATAATGATGTGACTCAAGATGTAATATTTGATGATAAGGGAAATGTAGTAAGTAAATAAAAGTTTGAGTGGTTTCATAAATAAAACTAATAACATTTTTCATTAATCATGACAGTGGTTACATTAACTTCAAACCATTCTCTCATTTTTGGGGACATTGTATCTAACCAACTACTGTCCCCATTAGTTAATATAATACAAGGAATTCCTCCTCTAATAGTAAGATCTAGTTGGAATTTAACAAATACGTGGAAGTCTCTCTGGCAACCTACTAAATTTTTCATTAATTCAGTAGGGACTGTCGAGTATTTGATGTCGTCTATAACGTTGTAGACGACGCCTTGATCGTAGTCCTTGAAGCTTATTCTGTCGGAGAAGTAATTGTGTCGTCCGAGACTTCTGGCCCAGGCGGTTTTTCCTGTTCTTGAGGGTCCTTCGAGGTAGAGAGAGATTGGGCGGATGGGCCGCTGTTTTGGTTCCTATTATCAGAGGAGGAGGAGAGTTCTTCGTCAGTATGTAAATTGTTGATAATATTTTTGTGTATCCCTAATCTAATCTAGTCGTCTTCCCTCCAAACGAAGAGACAACAATTTTGACATAACTCGTGTTGTACAAAATTTCGACTTACAAACAAAATATTACTTTCTGCCCATTTTTTTAATTTTTATTTAAGAAAGGAAATGAATTAAAGGGCTGGTATATGGGGGCCTCTC